ACTCCCTTTTAACAGGAGTTACTTCACTTATAGTAATTTAGTTAGCTAAGTTAGTTCACAATACAGTGCTAGGAATAAAAAAGATTTACCCTATATGTTATTTATGTATTTTTGTTGACATTAATTGGTTTGTGGTTTTTTTCTGTGTTTCTGTGTTAGTTAGCAGAGATCCAAAGGTCTGTTGCTTTAATAGTTTTACTTTCTAAAGACTATATTCAAAAGTGAGGTTTTAAGTTTTAACTGGTTTAAAGAAAATAAACAAAATCAAATCTAATGCTATGTTCAAACAGCAAGCGGCAGGAGCAGCAAAAATGCACGTGCTGCTTCATTTTTGATGCTTGTACAAATTCTGTTCGCATCAGATGCTCAGAGGCTCGAGAGGCGCTGCTCCTGCTGCTCAAAACACGCTGCAGGACCTTTTGCTTTTTGCGCGTCATCCAATTGCATGTCTACTAGCTGCTTCTGCTTCCTCTGCTGCTTTAGAAGTGAACGTATTATTATTATTATTATTGTCTAATTTGCTTATTTCAGATTAGAGCAGATCCAGAAGAAAATATGTTATTCTAATCAAATTGCATCTTCAAAGCTTATTTTCAACCTCTTATTTAATTTTTTATATTTTTGCTGCATTTTCTTACTTCAAATCCTTCTTAAACAGAGTCTGTGGACACCAAGATGAACTTCAGTAACCTGTTGATGATGTACCAGGATGGAGCGAGTAGTCCAGACTCCTGTGAGGAGGACACCAAGCTCTCCATGCTGCCCCACCTGGCTGACCTGGTCTCCTACAGCATCCAGAAAGTCATCGGGTTTGCCAAGATGATTCCAGGTTTCAGGTATGGTTAAAAATAATGACTGGAAATGTTGCCACCTTGGTCAACAATTTATATTTTAGCACCTTCAAATTTACATTTTAGTTCAGGAGTATTAAAAATACACAATTTTAAATAATGTAAATACTTTTAGTAATTATTTCAGACAAGTATGCAAAAATTTTAACATCAAATGAATTTTTTTCATTATCTGTAGTTGAAAATCACATGGTTGGTCAGTTGACCTCAAAGTTAATCATCTGGCAGTTAACCATGGCAGCTTGGATGGTGAACATGACTTAAATACATCTAAGAACAGCTGCAGCTCAGAAACCACCTAGATGACGAAGTAACTGTGTTCCTTCCTGCTGTGTTGTGTTTTCTCATTGATTTACGGTTCCGATTTATTTTCTTGTAAAATCTGCCACATCAAAGCATCAGCACGCACACGCGGCACCCTGAATGAGGTTCCCACCTACACAGAGAACACAATGATCGGCTGCCCACACGTATGCAGAGCATTAATGGAAGAGGTGAAAACAAACAAGCTCTTCCAAGAATTCGCTCAAACGCGCTGCGGCTAAAAGCTGAGCTGAGAGATAAAAATATAGATAGATAAACACTAGATCCACAGAGATTAGAGTGCTGCTGCTCATCAATTTAGAAACATTAATCAGCTTTATTCTCTGGAAGTGAGCTCATGGCAGGAAGAGAGAGCAGTTATAGAAATTTTAGGTGCTAAATCAGGGTTAAATTTGAAATCTTAAGAGAATAGGGATTTAGTCCAGGGTTTTTCACTATCTAAATGTTAATTCCTTGCAGCGCCATCTACGGTGGCCCAGAAGTGTCAACACAAATACAAAAGCCGCAACACAAATACAAACCCCGCAACACAAATACAAAAGCCGCAACACAAATACAAAAGCCGCAACACAAATACAAAAGCTGCAACACAAATAAAAAAGCCGCAACACAAATATAAAGGCTGCAACACAAATACAAAAGCTGCAACACAAATACAAAAGCCGCAACACAAATACAAAAGCTGCAACACAAATAAAAAAGCCGCAACACAAATAAAAAAGCCGCAGCACAAATATAAAGGCTGCAACACAA